CCCAGATCCCTGGCTTACACTCTCTGAAAGTTGGGTTAGTCTATCTGAAATCACAGAGGGAAAAATCTGCCCTCACAAAGTGGGGTGGATGGCTGGCAGAGGCAGAAGAGCATTCAGGAACTCCTTCACATTCTCACTGCTGTGACTGGGGGATGGATGTGCCATGTGGAAAGAGTCCCTCTCTCTGCTCTCAGTTTCCTTCTGCAATTTCAGCACGCTCTCCCTCCTGACCAAGTAACATCAGCTCTAGTGTTGCCTCTGTTCCCTCTATGCCATTCTCCTCTGTGAGCTGAGGGAAGAGTGGATCTATGACTTACTTTGCCTCAAGAGTTTCCTCTTTATGATTTCAGCTAAGCTCAAATATCTATTTCTGCCACATTATAAGCAACACAACCTTGGGCAAGGATATACCAAAGATCTGGGGTATGACTAAATAAATGCTGCATTCAAAAGCTTCTAGAAAACTTAACAAAACATGCAAATATAGTGATTATCAAAAAATAATTCTTCCTCTCTACTCCGTAAGAGATAAGGCCTGCTGAAGCAAAGCACCTCACACTTCTTTACATAAGTGAATCTCCACAAGAGGTGCTGTTTGGGGGAAGAGGTCAGAGAGATCAGGCAGCTTCCATAGCCCCGAGCCACACCTACATACAGGGAATGCTGCTTCCCCCTTCCTCCTACACGTCTGTTAAAACATTTCCATGTTCCAGTGCATAGGATCACATTTAACAACTTCATGGCTGTCCTGAGAGAGGCTTTCTTGGGTCTCAGAGTAGGAGAGTTGAGGCTGGAATGTAGATCATTTCATTTCTGGTCAGGGCACCTTAATTTACCATATATCACAGTATCTCTTCATAAGATGGATCAGGTGCTTCCAAACATCTTGAATGATATTCCACAGTAGGAAGTATGTTTTGCATAGTACACACTGACATGTAAGTACACAGCTGAAACAAAAACCCTTTGAAGCCAGTGCTTCCTCTGTGTGCAGGGCACTCTCTCCTGTCCACTAATTAGACTGCTGCTCATCACTCATTAGTGGATCAAGACTTCCAGTTTGGGAGAATCTGATTTAGAGAGTTCTCAATCTCAACTGGACATATGACGATTGTGATTGATCATGAATTCAAATGGATCTATGAATCTAAGAGGATAGGAAGATGAGAGGAGCTTAGAAAGTTCCACCAACAAGAACAGATTGAACATGCCAGCACATTCATTCTCTTTTCAGCTTTATCACTTTATTTGATATTCAGTCATCAGTTCTCATCTCCATTGATTGTCTGGAGATTTTTGAACAGAGACACAGGTTACCAAAGTATAGTGCTTGCTCAGTGAACCATCTTTTTCCTCATTGTTTTTTCTAGACAAACACACACAGATATGGTTGTGCTGGATAGCTTTAGTGTCAACTTGACACACCTGGGTTGAGGGAGCCTCAGTTGGGGAATTGCCTCTATTGGACTGGCCTGTGGCCATGTCTGAGGGGCATCTTCTTGATGAGTGATGTGGCAGGGCCCAGCCCACTGTGGGTGGTGCCACCTCTGGGCAGGTGGGCCTATGATGCATAGAAAGCAGGTTGAGCAGGGGCCAGGGGAGCAAGCCTGTAAGCAGCGTTCCTCCATGGCCTGTGCTCCAGCTCCTGCCTCCAGGTTCCTACCGTGAGTTCCTACCTTGGGCTCCCTGATGAACTGTGACCCAGGATATATAAACTAAATAAACCCTTTCCTCCCCAAGTTGGTAGTGGTCAGAGTGTTTTGTTGCAGCAATGAAGAACAAACTAGGACAATGGTACATTCCTTATTCCTTTGGCCCAGACAAAATATTTTGTTGAGCCTGGGCTCAATGCACATAATCTGGAGTCCTCATCTCCTTCGTGGCAAATTTCCCAATTCCTTTGGGTGCCTGAGGCTCATGCTTCCTGCAGCCCACTCCATGGATACTGCTTGTGAATGTTGATGGTGTATTTTAGGGTCATTACCTTGATGCTACAATGGCCCTTCGTACCACCCCTTTCTTGGGAGCCATTCTGCCCAGCTCAAGTTGTGAGGGGTTGTGAAAGGGAAAGCTGCATCATAAATATCCAAATCAATTCCTGAGAGACCTTTTGAGACACAATTTAAAGTGATAAAATAACTGTAGTACAGCATTTGTGTCTTATTACATTTGAAGACAGCATTTGTCACCCAAAACTATTTTAGCCTCTTCAAACATCAACCTCTGCCTGCCCAGCTCTCAACACTTGAACGAAGCAGCTTTTCCCTGCTCTCTGGAAGTTGGGCATTTTGCCTGATGGTGCACTAAATAAATAGGAAAACTAATAGCAACTGTCTTGTTTTCTTATTTTTACTATTCAAAATAATTCTAAGTCCAAAATGTCAAGGTAATAAAAAAAACTAGTGGCTATCAGCACACCCATCACTGCAGTAAAGGCCGAGTATGGAGGAAGAGGTCATAAAGAAAGAAGAAGAAACATGGTTTGAACCTCTCCATTCATTTCTGCCACCCAGCATTTTATGGAGGAGGCCTGTGTCCTTCAAATAAGTGTTATTTCTGTGTGTTCATGTATGGGCACAAGGAGGCACCCTTGGGGGTTTTTCCTCAGGTACAGTCCACTTTTTTTTGGAAATAGAGTCTCTCATTGTCCTAGAGCTCACCAGGTACATTAAGCTGACCGGTCCTTAAGCCCCAGTGATGCCTGCCTCTACCTTCTCAGCATTGGGATTACTAGTGTGTGCCACTGTGTCTGGCTTTTTTATATGGGTGGTCCAAACCAGACTCAGAATCTTCGTGCTTATAAGACAAACACTTTACCAACAAAGTTATCTCCTCAGCCAGTGTCATATTATTATTATCATTATTTTTTAAATCTTTGTGTATGCTTGTGTGTATACGTGTATGTATTGTATGCATGTATGTATGATGTGTGTTTGTGTGTGAATATGGGTACATGTGCATCATGGTGTGTGCGTGGAGGCCAGAGGACACCTTGGGTGTTAGTCCTGGCCTTTTATCTTGGTTGAAGCAGGTCTCTTCTTTACCGTTGTGCATACCACAGTAGCTGGCCTGTGAGAGTCTGGAGCTCCTCCTGTCTCTACCACCCATCTTGCTATAGAAGAGCTGGAATTACAGATGTACACCACTGCTTCACATGGGTTCTAAGAATCTAAACTCTGGTCCACATGCTTCTACAGCAAGCAGATTAGCCCCTGAGCTATCTCCCCACATCCCCAATATCATTTTGTAATGAAGCTTTTTCTTTTCCTTTGGTGACTCAACTGTTAATGTAGCTGAATTCTGTAGGCTGTCCCTCTGAACCTGACCAATACAGCCTAAGTATAAAGCCAGAGCATGACTTTTGGCTCAACAAAAACATTATAAACCTATGTGTGACAGGTGTTCAACAATGCACCTTGAAAGCACTGGAGGATCCCTGTACTATGTATGTCGCCACAGCATCTAGGCACACAGATGGCAGTCAGGACTGCAGACAACTTTGAAGTGGCAACCTGAAGCAGTAGAGATCAATTCAGATCCACACTGCTTTCCCATCTGTTGGTATCCATGAGTACAAGTGCTGGCTCTCCCTGGTGGTTAGTGAGTCCCAGTGTCTCCTGGAGGGGCCCCTGCATGATAGACTCATGTGAACCAGCAACTCTTCAGGAAGGATAGGATGTTGCACAAAAAGTTCTCTTCTCTTCTCTGGGTAAAGATGGCCCTATTCCCACAGGCACACCAGAGAAAATGCCTTGTACTGCTCACTGTTGGACATGCTGTATGATAGATACTAAGGGAGGTGGGAGGGAAGACACTGGACGAAGGCCAACTTTTGTTTTCCTCTCCAAAACCACTCAGAGGAAGAAACAAAGTTGCATTGCATCCTTAAGGCCTCAATTTGGAGTTCTGTTTCTGAAGTTATTAATAATGATGACATCCATATACAATAAAAATATATAAAATAATAGTTTCATATTTTCACAATTTTCAAAACAATGCCAAAATATTTTCTAGATTTAGTGTCACTACTGCTGTATTCTATGAAATAAAAATGCTTCTATAAAACTGAGAGGGTCAGTGAGAATGGCTCAGTGGACAGATCACTACTGCCAAACCTGACCACTAGAGTAATCCCCAGAACCCACACTGTGTAAGGAGCGCATCAACTCCCGCAGGCTGCCTCCTGACCGCTACATGTGCACTGTGGTGCATGCTCTCTGTCTCTCTGTTTCTCTGTCTCGGTCTCTGTCTCAGTCTCTGTCTCTCTGTCTCTCTGTCTCTCTCTCTCTCTCACATACACACACACACACACACACACACACACACACACACAATAAATTAGTATTTAAAAAAATCTGGAGAGTGAGGATAATAGATTAAATGTTCCTGAAGAGAAAGACTATAGGTTTGGATGGTGATTCTAGCAGAGCCCAACAGGAACCAGTTAACACACAATGCCCCAGATCCTCAATCCCCATATAATACCATACAGCGCTGCTGTGAGGACTAACCTGGCATATAATCAAATAATCTATTTAACCTCGTATTAGCTCTCCTTCTTATTTTTGTTTAATAAACATATTTTTTGGTCCAGAATAGATATACATGTTTATATGTCAACTTTCATATATATATATATCATATCTAGTATAAAGATGAGATGCAAAATAGTCTTCTCCCCAAACACTTTAGGGCTGATTAAAGCAGAGAAAAGACATTACCTGTATTTTGAAAATGAAAAAAATTAAGTTTCACAAAAAGAGTGAGCTAGTGGTTTACCATAGGAAGCCCAAGTCCAATTTTCCAACTTCCAAATATGGGTAAGCTGTTTTGACCAAATACAGAGGCTGGAGCAAGTGTACTGGATAGGACATGAAACATGGAGAGTTTAGCTCTTTTTATCTTTGATCAGGACAATTTAGAGAGTCAAAGACCATTAGAGTGGGCACTCTCTGCTTATCCCTGTGAGTATGGACATGGCATGCAGAGCGGCAACCCACCTTTCTCTTCCTGGGAATGGGCTCATCGAAGAGCAGGTTGCTGGCCTCGGCCTCATCAATGCCATCGTCTGGTGGTGCAGGGCTGCGGAAGGGCTTGAAGCTGTCAGCGGACAGTGGTGGAGATGGTGTGGATGGATTGGACTGGTCACTGGGGGCGCTCCAGCTCCAATAACCGCTGCTGCTGCTGCTGGAAGGCGCACCCTCCTTCCAGGACCCACTGAGCCCCTCTGCAACACAGGGGACGGTAAATGCAGGCCTCTGGGGGCCCCAGTTCTGTCCTCATCCCCTGCTGCACTGTTTCAGTATCTTGTGGTAGCTGTAAGCAGATGTTCTCACCCACCCCGTCACAGGTATTCCAACCACACTGTATTTGGATTGTCTGGGCTCTGTGTGTATTCTATTGTGTGGCACTCGTTTCTTGAGACTAATGGAGATTATATGAAAACAAAGTTCATGAACTGTGGGGGCCTCTAGGTCTGCTGACTGCAGTGTTTCTCAGTGACACATTACCTGTCATATCTTCCCAAATTATCTGGTCACAGAGTCTCTCCCAACAGTTCCACCTTTTAAAAAACACCATTACTTATGATTATGGTTCTTAGGATACACGTCTAAGAAGTTAATTTAATATTTAAGACTCTACAGGTAATAGTAATTTCTAGATAGGCATTTAAAGCCATTTTCCAAGATGCTTATTAAATAGCAGGGTCTTACACTCTGTTCTTACACCCTCTTACACTTAATTTCTAAAGTTAGCATATAAAATAATGGGTTTAATTATGCCATTTTCATATATATGCATGTCATTCATATTTAGTTCTAATTCATCCCTCCCTCCCTCTCTCTCCTCTCTCCAAATAGTCCCCCCTTCTACTTTCACATCACATATTAGTTCCCCCCTGTGTCTTATAAAGTTCATCTGCTGTCTCAAACACTGCTACATTTGTAAGGGTTATGCCCACTTGACAAGTGAGGACACTGTGGCATAGGACGTTCAGTAGCCTGTCCCGTGAGTAGTAAGTGCCCTGGCTGGCCTGGGGTGAGGTCCTGGTCTGCCAGTGGCCCTCAGTTCTCTAGGGCATGTGGACCCTATGCTGTATCTCTATTTTCTATGGCCAAGCTAGATCACATCAGAATTCACTGCCGATAACTATGGAAAGACTGGCACTTAACTTACTTGTGGGAAAAGTCTGATGCAGAGAGAGTTCTGTTTGGTAAAATGTCTGGGGGGGGGGCTTTTAATGACTGCACATTTGCTTTATCTTTCAAGAAGCCCAATCGTAATTAGCATGAATACAAATTCTACCTTCTTTCTAGATAATTTCTCTTCCGTGTTTATGTGCATTGTGAATATATTAAAACTCTAATTATGAGGGGAAAAATCCCAAAATGCCTCATTAAAAAAATACTATTAATGCCTGTGTAATTAGTAATGAAGCAAAAATAAATTATAGATTAGCATTCGTGGAGAAGTTTAACAGTCCTTACCTGATTACAGATTTCCAGCATATTTCTCAACTATGTTAAGCAAAAGGTTTAGTTAAAGGCTCCAAGAAGTTTTAAATTGAAGAATTTCCCATTTCATGATGGCAAGGTTCTGTCTGAATCAAATGGTTATTTATACAAGCATGTACCTTGCTATCATCACCAAGCTAAACTAGCATGTCTTCCCTACAGGTTGATGGATGCTGGATACTTAGACGCTTGGATGCTCCTGGCAGACTGCAGGACCTTGTGTAATGAGAGCTTTCAGTATGGCAGGCCTTCAGGGAGCCTCCTGGAAGACCCCTGGTGACATCACCTGGTGGGAAAACCTGCCTCACAGTAGGCCCAGGAGGCTTCTTAACACACCCTGCCATAGACTTTCACAATAAAATCAAGTTCATGGTGCTAGATGTGCCATCACATTATACATGAGGAACTGAATTGATTTTGTGAACTATTTGAGCTTACAGTGTGTTACATCACTTCCTGTCAATGTCAACAGTGAGTCTGTAGGCCGGTTAGTGAGTATTTCCTTCAGGAACACTATTTAATCATAGGGACTAAGTGGTAAAGAAATGAACTTTTCAGAAACAAGTCAGGATGGATTCATTGTATTTCTTTTTTTTTTAATTTTTAAATTTTTTAATTTTATGTGTATGCATGTATTGCCTGCATGTAGGTAAGTGCACCCATGTCGTGCCATGCCCACAGAGAACAGAAGAGGCTGTCAGATGCCCTGGAATTGGAGTTACAGACAGTTGTTAGCTGCCATGTGGGTGCTGGGATTCGAAGCCGGGTCTTCTGCAAGAACAGCCAATGTTCTTAATTGCTGAGCCATCTCTCCAACCCTGGATTCACTGTATTTCTTAGGGGGCTGCGTCTCCTTATCTTGAGCAATTATTTGCCAATGATGCAGATGGGCCCACGTGGGCCCTCACCCTCTTTGCAAAGCTACCTCCTAAAAGAATGATCCTTCTTAGGCACAGAAAAGGACCACAATAATTTTAAAAAACTCACTGATATACCAAAATTTTGGAGAACTTGTATTCCTAAAATATTAATGACTTTATTATTATAAATTGCTTCTCTTATTGCAGACCAAATGAGAGCAATCAACTTGAGTAACTAAGTAGTTATTTTTTAAACCATAAATGAATGCTGAATTACTACTCTATTGCTGTGCTAACAAAAGTTTGCATTGGAGAACCAAAAGGTTTATTTTAATTCCAATCTTTAAATAGAAATGTTAACTTAAAAAAAGAAGCCTATGGTAAAAATAATGATTAATTAAAAAATCCTTTTTTTCTCTAAGGATTCAAACTTATTCCTAGAATATTTTGGGAGTGCCCCAGCTTTGCCTCCAGCAGTGGTGCTTAGCTGAGAAAGACAAATCTGGATACCCACTTGCCAAGGGGTCCCCAGAGGGCCAGGCCTGAACAAGAGTGGTGCCCCTGACCTGCTTGAGTGCTATGCAAAGAGGGGCATCAACCCAGCTGGTGGTGAAGCACATGGCCGGACACTTGACATGAAACTGGTTCATGACCCTGCTTTGAATTTCCAGTAGCCTACTCACTCTTATCCACTTATAACAGGCTTGGAGCAGGTTTGGACAAGGACTTGCTGAATGTTTCACCAGTTTATTTGACTATGCCATGCTTACAACCAAACTGTGCAGGAACCACAGCTCAGTTCCATCGACTGCTGGTTTGGGAGACATGTCAATTGCTGGACAGTCTCATTCAGTGGACTCACATCCTGGTAAGCTAAAATTGGGGTCCCTCCCAGGGGTGTTCTCTGTGAATGCTCCTGCCAAACCTTTCTGGGACCTTTTTTATGCATATCCCAATACTTTGAATGCCAAACCCTTTGAAGTATTAGGTGTCTCTCCTTGAAGCATCCTTTTCCCTTGGATTTCATAAAACTTCACTTCTTCTGTTTCCTCCTAGCTCACTGGTCACCTTTAGGCTCTTCCAGGCTGTTTTCCCTCTACCCATCCCTTACATGATGGCAAGCTAGCCCCACAGCTTCCTCGTCAGCCCTCTTCTCTTTGCACTCTACTCCTACATGCCTCTCTGCAGGGATCTCACCTGCCCTCACAGATTCCAATTCTGTGCTATCAGCATAGGTCTCTTCTTGGCTTTGATTAAAGCTCCATGAGATGCTGCTCTGTGAGTGATCCTAGGTCCTGTCAACTAACCATGTTTCCAACGTGACCTGTCACCTTCTTCAACAGTCCTACCTGCAGCTCCATACATTTACTAAAAACTCTATTCTCTACCTGTCTTTGGCTGAAGCTGGGGCTTTACCATGACTCACCCTCTCCTTTGTCCTATCTCCAAAATCTGTTGATTTTGCCTTCTTCACCTACAAGTTAGGTCCTCTTCTGCCTAAGGTGGCTACTGAGGTTTAGGCCACCATGTGTGTGTATACATATGTATATATACATATATGCAAACACATGCATGTATATGAACGTGTATTCATTACCTGCACACATGTATACATTATACAAATGTGTGAATGTGCATATGTATTATGCATGTGTTCATGCAGTATGTGTATACATGCATGCATACAGTCAGCAATCCTAATCCCAACATTATTCTGTCTGGATCGCTCACTTTAACAGCTCTTTCATAGTCTCAGAATAAAATGCAGACTCCATACGTGACCTGTAATGGTAAAACTCTGGTTTCATCCATGCACCTTCATTTCCCACTGCCTGCTTTCCTGATTTACCATACTGATTAAATGAAGCAATAGCATATCATGATTAGGAGGAAGGCAGATCTGGAATCGGAAAGATAGGAACTAGAATCTTAGTTTTACCATTTACAAGTCAATTAACTCACATGTGTCTCAGTTTATTAATCTGTAAAATAATGATAATAATACCTTATAGAGTTGTTCAAAGAATACAAGGTGTCTTGCAAGTGAGTTTACTATGAGCATCCCCTGTCTCTGCCTTCTGAGGCTAGACTTTCAGGTGGGCTGTCACCCCCAGCCCACATTTACATGGGTTTCTGGGAATCTGAACTCAGGTTCTCCTGCTTGTATGGCAAACACTTTAACCACTGAGTCATCTCCCCAGTCTTTGAGTTTTGTTTTAGGTTTTCTTTTCTGCATCCTACTACAGATAAAGTAAGCAGAAGATCTGGAGGATGGTCAGGGCTCCATAAATGCTAGCTATTAATGTGGCTATGATTGAGAGTCTTTTTCCCAAAGAGGCTGTGTATTCTCAGGGAATGTGGACACTATTTTCCACTGATGTACTAAAATCTTCTAGGTGAACCAAATACATACTGAATTCATGATTGGACTAAATAATTCCATTTGATTATGAAGTGTGAGATAATGCTTTTAAAACACTGGGTCTTTAGTGAGTGCTTTGATCCCGATCAAAAAGAAATTATGCTGGGGAAAGTAAGTTCATTAGACCAATCTCCATTTACCTGGGGAAGAAGGAACCTATTACTGTGTCCTGGGAAGACAGAAAACAAATGATGGAACTCAGTAAATGAGAGCTGCTGGACGGATGAACGGATGGGCAAGAATGGTGGGAGAGGTGAAGGAACCTGATGGGCCAGGGTCTCCGTATCCTCTCATGTCCCCTGCTTTAAGGAATGACATTTCTTAGAGAGACCCTGCTCTTAGTGCCAATGGGAACCTTCCCAAAGCTCATATCCTAGGCTTACCATTCGGTCTCACAGGAGGGCTTCGGACCAAAGGGCTGGTTGACAAACTGGTCAGTACCATTGCTGCAGTTACCTTGTCCATGTCCAGTTCCTCTGACGATTTCCTGTAAAACAGGAAGGAGTGCTGTTATCTGTGCTCATTTTCCATCCAGTGAGCAAGTAAGGCACCACAGATTGCCACGTGTGCTTTTCTAACTTACCCCCAGGAACATCCAATGTTCTGCTGCTAGTTGCTTTATAGATGAGGAAGCTGAAGTTCAAGAGGTTAAATGACCCTGTCAAAGTCACACGTGCCAGGAAGAAAATGGTTCCTTCACTCACCGTTCAATCTAACAACCACTGGCTGAGTGTGCTGATGGGCTGAGCAGACACTGTCCAGGCCTCAGTGACTTGCAGAGAACAGTAGACAAATAAACCAAAAGGAACAAAAGAGTTTCTGATAATGAAAGTACCATTAAGGGCAACAGCAGTGGACCTGACAGTGACTGTACTTCAGGAAGCCAGGAAATGTCCCTGAGGAGGTGACCTCTGAGGTGATGTGTGACAGTGAGAAGGAACTGGTCCTGTGGGTGGAGAGTAGTATACCCCTGCAGCAGTGGCAGTCTGGGGGATGTGAGAAGAGTGCTGGGGGCAGTGGAGAGCTCCTCATACTGGGTCCTAAGCCCATAGAATATGTTTCGTTTTTATTCTAAGTGGAATGGGGAGTCACTGGAAAACTTTCAGCAAGTCCAGTGACATAATTTGATCAGTACTTACAAAATAATGCCTAAGCTGGAATACAGAGAATCGATTTTAGGAAGGTATAGCAAAAAGAGGAAGACTGTGAGAGGATTGACAGGAGTGCAGAGATAAAGTGGCGCTTGGGACCAGGGTGGGGACAGTAGTGATGACTTAATGGGATGAGGTAGGGAGACAGGATGGTTAGATCTGGACAGCTTCACTACCCAATTGAATACTTAGAAGGGTTTCTACTGAGTTGAGAGAGGCTGGAAAAGAAAAGCAATCGCAGGTGTTGAAATCTGAGATTTCTTTTAATTTTTCCCTCCTTTTCCATTTTTTTTGTGTGTCTGCATGTGTGTGTACACACAAGTATGGGTGCACATGTAGAATAGGTGCTCATGGAGGCCCTGGGTTGATGCTGGGAATCACTGCTCTTCTACCTTATTCACTGAGGCAGGGTCTTGCCAGCCGGTTTACTATGAGCATCCCCTGTCTCTGCCTTCTGAGGCTAGACTTTCAGGTGGGCTGCCACCCCCAGCCCACATTTACACGGGTTTCTGGGAATCTGAACTCAGGTTCTCCTGCTTGTATGGCAAACACTTTAATCACTGAGTTATCTCCCCAGCCTTTGAGTTTTGTTTTAGGTTTTCTTTTCCGCATCCTACTAAAGGAAGAACATGGCATGGAAATAGTTACAGTAATCACTGAGTGAGACAAAGAGGTTGATCTGGTTTATTAATTTTAGTCAAATGACCCTGAACAAAGGTCTACCAAATACTCATCATGGTGACTAGAGTCCTCTTGTTTAAGCTTATTTCAAAAGAGAAGTTTGAAACTGAGAGGCAAAAATTTATGTAGTACATTGACATCAAATAAATGGTACCACCTCCCGAGAGATGAACATTTTCCAATTAGAGAATAGTTGGGGAAGCACAACAGAGGATTAATAAGCCATAGCCACAAATGAATTGTCACTTTGACAAATGCGGTGTTCCCTCACAGGTGTGCTGTATAATTCGTAATAGTAATGAACTCTAGATCTAGAGACTTCTTGGCACTGCTTTACAACTGAGTGGAAAAAAGAAATACTTCCATTGGAGAAAAGTCAAATGCTTCTTTACTTGCAGCGGCTGCTTGTGATGGTTAATCTTGACTCTCAACTTTATGGGGTTCAGAATCACCATGGAAACAAACCTCTGAGCATGTCTGTGAAGGATTTATTAGGTTAGGTTAATTGAGGTACGAAGACCCACCTTAAATATGGGCTGTACCACTCCATGGTCTAGGGGCTGGACTTAATACAAAGGAGATAGCTAGCTGAGCATAACCACTTATCATTCTCTGCTTCTCCACTGTCGGTGCAATGTGCCCGATTGCCTTGTGCTTGTGTCATGACTTCTCTGCAGGGATGGATTGGGCCCTCAAAGTGCGAATCAAAACAAACCCTTCCTGTCTTGAGCTGCTTTTGTCAGGTATTTTGTTACAGCAGCAAGACAAGTAACCAATACACTGTTCAATTAATTTCATCGTAAGTTACAGAAAATATTAGTTTGACTTCCTGATGTCCACCATAATACTAATTATTCAGGAAAACATACTATGTTTCATATTAAATTATTCATACTAAATTATTCAGGAAAGCTTATTCTTTCAATCCAAGGTACTGAAAGATGGAAACCTTAAAATCTTCTTGTATAATTCTTGTCAAAGTACTTTATGCTCTTTCTCCTCAAACTGTTCCATCAAAAGGGAAATTACTTATTTCAGTAACTGGCAATTAAAAACCATTTCTGTAAAGCAAGCATGAGTGGAGACAATGGAATTCCCTCCATGGAAGTTTTCAAGACAATGTCATACACTGGGAGGTAGGAAACCTTGCTCACTAAGTTGGCATGCCAGTCAAGCTTTTACAGTTTTCACAGTTCACAAGATCCCATACTTGGGAGAAAGGGTGAAGCCAGTTTCCTACAGAAATGGAGCCGATTGGAGCAGCACTATGGACAGAGGACAAAGCACTTCACTACTCGAGAGTGTGGTGCCGGCTCAGTTTCCCCATGATCACAGTCACGCTCACAGAGGGAAGGAATATGTTGGGGGTCTTGCAGGAGAAAGGAGTTCCTGAAGGTCCAGGTCACACTGGGTGGCATGCCTGGACAAGCACTTCCATCTCCTTTTCAAGGCTGAGTTACAGGAGCTTCTTTTTGCAAATGCCAGTTTTCCCTTTATGATGGTTAATCTTCCTTCTCAAATTGACTGGATTTAAAACTCTTTGTGAAACACACCTCTGGGCATGTCTGTGAGTGTTTTCAGAAAGGATTAACTAAGAAGGGAATGCATCCTGAACATAGGCAACACCAGCCCAGAGACTAGGGCCCTAGACTGAATCACAAGGAGAAAATCAGCTGAGTGCTCATTCATCTCTTTGCTTCCTGATGGTGGATACATGTGACCAATCCCCTCACACAACTTTCCCACAGTGATAGACCATTCCTTTCAACTGTGAGCCAAAATAAAGTTGCTTGTGTCAAGTACTTGATCACAGCAGTGAGAAAAGTAGCTAATACGTTGTTATTAACCAAAACTTTAAAAACCAGGATATGAAGAGTGAGAACTTTGTACATGAGAATAGTGTGGTTTTGTAGTAAGAAGACATCCTCATCTTCTCCAGACTTCTAAAGGCCTTCCGAGACATTCTCCAATATCTCAGTTTCAAAGACCTTCTATCTTTCCTCAGTTCACCTTGCAGCCTTTCTAGATTTAAAAATGTGTTTACACATAAAGTGAACTTTTTGTTTTAGAGGTCTAGCTGATAATTCAAAAACTGGTTTAACATGCTCTGGTTGAAGGACATAGAGAAATCAAATTGGATCTGCATTGGAAGCTTCCAGTGCTTTATAATGCTGGAGGTGCTATGCAGGTTGTTAGGGGAGAATTGTCATCAAGAGTCTTAACTTAGCTGCGGACTCTGTATACAGCACTACTGCCCAGCCAGGCCAGATGTGCCCATTGATGCAATATGGGAAGGTCTTTTTAAAAAAATATTTTATTATTTTTATTTTATGTGTATGAGTGTACTGCCTGCATGTAGGTAAGTGCACCCATGTCGTGCAATGCCCGTGGAGGACAGAAGAGGCTATCAGATCCCCTGGAACTGGAGTTATGGACAGTTGTTAGCTGCTGTGTGGGTGCTGGGATTTGAACCCGGGTTTTCTGCAAGAACGACTAGTGTTCTTAACTGCTGAACCATCTCTCCAGCCCCATGGGAAGGTCTTATGGGGGGTAAGCAACCATTTTCTTTTAAGAAATATTTATTGTTTTTATTTTTATGTGTATGAGTGTACTGCCTGCATGTATGTCATGCACCCATGTAGTACCCTTGAAGGTCAGAAATGGGCACTGGATTCCATGGAACTGGAGTTACAGATGGTTGTTAGGCACCAGGAGAGTGCTGGGAGCCAAACCTGGGTCCTCTGCAAGAACATTCAGTACTCTTAACTGCTGAGCCATCTCTCCAGCCCCACAACCACTTTTTGATCGAAATTGAGGTTTGCCCCACAAGAGCGGAACTCACATGTGGTACTGTAAACCTGGTCAAAAGCTTGTGGGTGGGGAGGTCATGACTCCTAGGAGGGAAGCTTCAGCTATAGTTTTGATAGACATGATGTGCCTTCTAAATAATTATGTTCATGCCCATAGATTAGTTCTGCTGTCAGTTTGGTCAAAGAAGCTCTCTGAAGTGGGCAGCAATAACTGCAGAGACTTATAACTGGTGAAAGTGCTCAGATAAGTGACTGGTGGACACCCAGCCACAAATGGCACATCTATATCACCCCTTTCAAGGTTCAAGGAACACTGTGGGAGAGGATGGGAAGAATGTAAGAGCTGGAGGGTAGGAGTTTGGAGTGCTGTCTTCTGGGCATATGGTTCTGGCACTATTGAACTCAACAGCAGCTGTGATTACCAACACAAGACCTGCACAAGACTGGGCCCACAGATGTGCTGTCATGGAAAGAAGAGCGGCTCACGAGGCTCCTTAAGGATTTCTATAGGTAGTTGATAGTTAACAGGGAGGAAACGACATTTTTTTCCAGTGTGCAGTCACTGGTAAGGTACTGATGCGCCTAAACATCCCTAATAAAATTCACTGGATCACAACAAAACAAAATAAACAACATTAAAGTAGAAGGGGAGGGGGACTTGTTGGAAAGAAGGAATCAGTGGGAGTGAGACAAGGGCATAATAGGATGTAAACACGATCAAAATACATTATGTACATGCATGAAAATACAATGAAACACATTGTTCTATATAATTAAAACATGCTAGTAAAACATTTAAAAAACAAAAACAAAAAAGCTGGTTTGTGTGGGTTTTTAAATATGAG